CCAAGGATAGGCAGTTACAGTGCGGCATATCTGCTCTCCCGATATTTTTGGGGTAGAAATCCAGCAGCTGCAGGATATACTCCACGAAAAAGTATACCCAGAGATATTTGTCCTCCGAAATATAGGTAGGAGACTGCAGAGCACACTATGGCAACTGCAGAAAAGAAAAACTTGCTTATAATTCATATTGACCCAACAATGAAAAACTCGGCGCCTAGGTGGGATTCTCACCCACGCAGTAAGGAGAAGGCTTTAGTACAGCCAACGCTCTAACCACTTGAGCTACGAGGCCCCGCCGGACGACTCGAGTTTAATCACATTTGGGTCAATTTTACCCGCCCAACCTACTGCAACGTCTGGAATCCACCAATTCTGATACAGTAAGTTGACGGCCTAAGCAGGATTTCCTATGTAATTCACCTAGAATCCACCAGATGTCTACTAGGCTCACTTGTTTATAAGACGACCTTCTCAAGGTGACGCAGCAAGTGACCTAGTAAAACAACGCCTGAAAAGAGCGAGCACTAGCACTTTCCCGCGACGAATCTACGCATATGTTTCACGAACTCTCCCCTCGTACGCTTGGGAGGTAAAGACCGACTACCGTTGATGGCCACATCGACGTGTATTTGCTCATTCACTTGCTCCTGGGAGTGAAATACATTGGCCGTATAACGAGGCGTCTGGAAAGGAGAGCACGTGAACACATACCGGCCTGATTAGGCAGAAGTGAAAAAATATCGACTCCGAGTTCCATCCTCGCACAACTTGTCGATACGAATCACCAAGCTGATGCCAACGAAGTCTTTCAGATCGTCTATCGGACACCAGCAATCTTATCCAGAGGGTTCTAGCTACAGCCGAGGCAATGGCTACGCGGCTAGACAATCCAGTGCTATGTTGTCAGAAGACGTTGACACAGGCGCTATGTCTTTCGTGGCTAACGCCTACCCTAGGTGATGATAATACGCCACCCCAATCTCATGATGGCAGTGATGTATGCTCAACATACCCGACTTAAAAATAGCACTCACGGCATCTATCACCCTCCTTCTTACCCCCTGACATGGTGACCATAACACGCCGAACTTTCCATGCGGATGACGTGGGAATGATGAGTGATAATGGCCCACGAGTCACTTATAACCCTGTGTACTTCGCATATTTTTAATTTCTATGTAAGTATTTCGGCCTGATGATGCGTTAGCGAAAACCATCATGCGTTAACACACCGTCTGTGCAATCAATGTATCATTGTTGTACAATCCTGATTAAATATACTTTTTGTGTTCTTTTAGAGACCCTGCAAGAGGAGGGCCTTCAGCCGGTTGCGATCGCCGGTACCACCCTTGGAATCCTTTGCTTTCTGGCGTTGGTGATCGGCGCCTCTTTCCTAGTTATCCGCCGAAGGAGGCGAAAAGGACACATTTTACATGTTGATTTGGTCGAAGTCGATGATGCAAACTTCAAAATCCATTCGGATTTGTAAACCTGCATCTAATGCCAATGATCTTAGTATAGTGTTGTGATAATGACTTTATACACGCAGTAGAATAGCATCACACATCTTCATTATCAAATAAAATTAACGATCGCAGTTGATGCAGATCACATCGGGCAGTTGATACGCCAACGGTAAGTCTTACATCAGGACTGACACAAATGGACGTCAACGCGTTGTTGGCAAAGATTAATAACTCGTCTATCTGTGACAAATACCACTCAGTCACCAAGTACGCACCTGATCAGGCCTTAATACACACAGTTCGATCGTTGATGCCAACGATGTCAGCCGTGCGCTCCCCAGTTAGTCAAGGCAGGCACAGTGACTTGCGCTTAATTTAGTGTTTGACGAATGCAGACTTGCACAGCACCTACCGCACTCTCTCCTCCCTCCTCGTGGACTCTGTGTCAAGACCAAGTAAAGGAAGTCATATGCGGGAGAGGTTGCAGGTAGATTGCACGACCGAGCCTGCACCATGACGTTCCACTCCACACCCCCGTAGTCCACACTGCAAAAGACCAGGACTTTAACCAACAACAGACATGGAGGCTGGCGCAGTCGAAACCGCCCGCAGGCACTGCTCCCACGGATTGGGAGTGTTATAAAGGTCACATTGCGAAGAAGCCATTGCAAACAGACTCTTAGACAACCAGTCGGCCGCTCCACACAAAAACGCAACACTGGACTGACTGCGTGTTTCAAGTTGTCCCACCAATTGGCAAATTTCCATGCCAGGGCTTTAAGCTCACCGTAATAGCTTCAATCGCGTCAAAATTTTTATAGTGAGGCAAAAGCGCTTAGTCGGCGAGCTCATATTTTCATCCAAATATCAGGTCTCAAAACTGTCCGTGCCGGTCAGTTGACAGGTGTGGGAAATAGGCGCGGTGGCTGACGTATATAGTGACCCTGTCTTCGTGCGCCACACACACGAACTGACCAAAAACATAAGCATCAGGCATCCCTAGAACGAGATTTAGGTGGTGTACATCTCACATAAGTGAGGGTGCCATAAGTCAGGTTAAGAAGGAGTCGCATCAAACTGTCTCTCAGCCCAGCAGTCCACAAATTCCATACACACACACGACGACAGTTCGACCATCGGTTACGATGACGTTCACCGTGTGCCCCACAGCAGAGGTGGGAGCAGGGACGGTGACTTACGCAGGGGTTTATAGTGCCAGTAGACTTGCGTAGCATCTACCTACACTCTCTCCTCCTCCCCCGCCTGAGCCCGGTGTCAAGACAGAATCAATAAGACCGGAGACGAGGGAGGCCGCAGATGGAGGGCTCAGACGGATCCTCAACTTGGCGTTCCACCACACCCCCTGGTCCACACAACAAATAACCAGGATTTCAACCAACAACAGAGATTTGGAGGATGGCACGACCGAAGCCGTACCTAGGCGTGCCTCAACGCCTAAATCGGGTCTAACGCTGTGGTGGGAGTGCCATAAAGGCCACATAATAAAGGAGTCATTGAAGCCTGACTCTCGGACCACCACCTGTCACGGAGGAGGTCCAAGTTACCCCGTTAGTTGGCAACCTTCCAAGCCACGGCTTTTAGCGCACCGTGATAGCTTCAAGCGCGTCAGATTGATTATAGTGAGGAAAGTGCGCTGAGTGGTCGACCTCACTCTCCCTTCCCATCCCACATCCCAGCCGCTGTCCCGGCCGGTCAGTAGACTGGATTGGGGAATGAGCGCGGTGGTTGTCATTGTTGACTGTCCATGACTGCGCGCGCCACGTGCCCGACCTGCCCCCCCGCCAACATACACACAAACACCAGGATTTAACACTGGGGCAATGAACGGCATGTCTTTCACTTGCGTGAAAGTGCCGTGGAAGGTGCTGTTTCAGTCCGTCCCCAGCCCACCAGTACGCCACTCCACACAACGCACACACAACGAGACGAACTGTGTGAACCGAGTGCGGACGTCAATCAGCAGCCTTCCTATCCGCGACGCTTGACGTGTCGGGATTGTCTCGGACTCAAGTCACCCGTGCATCCGAAGCCGCATGGGGACCGAATCGAGATGCACACTTCCCACTTGCGTGGAAGTTGGCAGTTGGGTGCATGTGGTGGGTGAGTGTTGATGCGTAGTGGTGATGGTGGAGGAGGGTATGGAGTGTGTGAATGTGCGGTGTAACCGGCGGTTGTCTACCGCAGGTCGTCGTGGATACGCATGTGGCCGAATAGGCCCATGCGGAGCCTGAAAGTGTGAGGACAATGCGGGCAATTCAGTCGAGCTTTTTGGGTCTAGGTTGGTGCTCCAGGCACTGGTTCTCCAGTCTCTGTGCAATGGATTCTCAAGTGACCTATCAGGCTGATGCGAGAGGTGAATGTGCGTGGACAATGTGGACAGGTGAAGTCGCTGGCGCCGGTTTCAGTTGCGGGAAGGCGGTGGGGGGCGCATAATGATGAAGTGGGCAGGGGGCTTGGCATAATGAATGTGTCGGTACTGTGGTCAATTCAGCTCTGGTGGATGCGCATGTGGCCGAATAGACCCATGCGATGCGTGAAGGTGCGAGGTCAGTGTGGGCAGTGGAGGCGAGTGCGGCGGATGTAGGTTGGTGCTCCAGGCACTGGTTCGCCAGTCTCTGTACGATGGATTCGCAAATGTCCGACAAACCGATGTGTGAGGTGAAGGTGGGGTCGCAGTGAGGGCAGATATAGCCCTGATCTTCATCGCTGGAATCGGAAGAAGTGGGGATGTTGTCGGATGGTGCGTCAGGGTTGGTGGTGTGCGAGATGGTCGCGTGAGCGGCCGTTGCTGGGGCAGTGGTGGTGGTGGAGGAGGAGGAGGAGGA